CGCGCTCTCCATCCTGCCCGCCGCCCTCTCGCATCAACCCCGCTGCTCCCCCTGGCCGTCTGCGCCGCGACCCCCCGCGGCGACCCCGTCTGCGCCGCTCGCGCCCAGCCCGGCCCGCGCCGATTGCGCCGGCGCCTCGGGCGGCAATTTCGATGGCCCTCAAAAATGTAGCTAGATGGCCGCGCCGACCTAGGGCGGCGACAGACCCCCCCCAGGCCCCGTGCCAGACGCCGGCGCAACCCCCGCGGGGTCTCGATCGGAGCGGCCCCTGGGCGGCCGCGATGTGTTTAGGTGCGTTCGAGGTGCCCCAATCGGAATGCACCAAAAATGCGCAGACAAAATAAGCCCCGCATTCGCAATCCCCGGAGGAATTCGGCGCGCCCATTTGAAACTCGCAAAAGCTAGGCGGCCGAAGTAGGCGAGGCGCCCGCCGACTCCGCGCGGGATTTGCTTGCAGTTTGTTTCCTTCCATTTGCGGAACAACATGCACGCGCAAAGCGCAGAGCAAAACAAAAATGCGCGATCGGGGAGGCGCCATTATTTTTTAAAGGAAAGCGCATAATGAATGCGCGAAAAATAAACCCGCCCCGATCGGTGAAATTGCGCAAAAAAAATACAAACGCGAAAAATATCGTTCCTCGGGGAACCGCCGGGGGAGAAATCGAATGGGAGGCCCGCGACGGAACGCGGCTGCCCCGCGGGGCCTTGCCCCCCCCCCCTTCCCCGCGCGCCCGCGGGGTGAAGGCCCGGCCGCGCCCCGGCGCCGGGCGGGCGAACGGGGCGGGCGGGGGCGCGGCGCCGGGCGAGTGGCGCAGCCGCGCGGCTCGGCAGATGACGTCTGCGCCGCGCCACCCCCCGCGGCGATGCGCTCGGGCAAGTTTCGCCGACGCGGGGGCGGCGGCGGCCGCGCGCGGCGCCCGCGGGCCCCTCGAGCATTTGCCCGACCAGAAGCCGCAGTGGCAGAGGCTGCGCGCCCTTCTTGCGCGCCCCCCGCGCGCTTCGCGGCCCCGCAGGCGACTCCGTCGAAACCGCGGCAGCAGCGGCCGCGGGCTGCACCTGCGCCCCCTGGGCTCCATCAAAGTCCTCGGTGGTATCAGCCGCGCGCGGCGCTTGCGCGCCCCTCGCGCGTTCGATGGCTCGAATAAGGAAACCCGCCAACGGTCCCAACGTCAGCGATCGCGCGCGTGCCTGAACACCGCTCGCGCGCGTCGCGGCCTCTCGGGGGCCTCTGCCGAAGCCCCCGCAGGCGGAGGCCGCGCGCGGCGCCTGCAAAACCCTCGCGCAGTTCGCGGCTCCACGGGGGGCCCCGCCGAAGGCCCTAGCGGCGGCGGCTGGGCGCGGCGCATTTGCGCAACTGCCGCGCGCGTCGTGGCCCCGCAGGAAACTCCGCTGAAAGCCCCGACCCCGCTGGCGCCGCTCGCGCGGCGGCCCTGGCCCATGTCGGCGCGCCCCTGTCGCGCGCCCCCTGGCGCCCGCGGCAATTCTGCCAGAAACTGCGATCAGAACTGCATATGGGCGGCCCTTCGCCGGCAATTTGCCGGGCGTGCGCGGGCGGCGCCGGGCCCCGCGCCAAGCCAATTTGCGGCGCGCCCCTGCGGCGAGAGACCCCAAAACCGAACCGCGGAAGCCGATCCCGCGCGCCGCTGCAGGGCGCATGATCGCCCTGAGCGGCCGCGGCAATCGGCGTTCCCGGCGAGGCGCTCGCTGCGCGCCGCAAACACCGCTTGCGCTTGAGCGCTTACACCTTATAACATAAGAAAGAGCGTGTTCTACCGCTGCTGGCGGAAAACCGGGGGGGGTCACTGCCGGTTCGAACCCCCCCCCCCCCCCCCCCCTGCTCATCATGAAAAAAGGGGGGGTCACTACCGCTTCGAACCCCTCCCACCCCCCCCCCCCCCCTCCGGATCCGGAAAACCGAGGGGGGTCACTACCGGTTCGAACCCCCCCCCCCTTACGGTGTTGGTGAGGGCAGTGGTGAGGGGATAGCGGGACAGTGGTGGGGGCAGTGGGACAGTGGGACAGTGGTGGGGACGGTAGCGGTGGGGACAGTGGTGGGGGCAATGGTGGGAACAGGGGGGGGGACAGTGGACAGTGGTGGTGACGGTGGTGGTGGGGACAGTGGTGTGGGGACAATGGGAATGAGGTGGAAACAGTGGGACAGTGGAGGGTACAATGGTGGTGGGGACAGTGGTGAAGGCGGTGGCGAGGACGGCGGTGGGACAATGGGACAGAGGTACAGTGGGGACAGTGGTGGGGACAGTGGGGACAGTGGTGGGAACAGTGGGACAGCTCAGTGGGACAGCGGAGGAGTCAGTGGGACAGTGGGGACAGTGGGGATAGTCGGGCAGTGGTTGGGGCCGTGGAGACAGTGGGGAGAGTGGAACCGTGGTGGGAACAGTTCTGGGGACAGCGGGGACAGTGCGACAGTGGTGGGGCCACTGGTGGGGACAGTAGGGGCGGTGGTGGAACCAGTGGGGACAGCGGTGGTGAGGACAGTGGTGCTGGGAACACCAGTGGGGGATGTGATGCGGACGGTGGTGGGGACCGGGAGTCGTTTGCTGGCGGTGAATAGGCGAGGGGGGGAGGGGGGGGGGGGCGGGGGGGGGGGTTCGAACCAGTAGTGACCCCCCCCCCCGGTTTCCCGGATCCGGAGGGGGGGGGGGAGGTGTTCGAACCGGTAGTGACCCCCCCGGTTTTCGAGCGGGAGGGGGGGGGGGGGGAGGGGTTAGGGGAGGGGGGGTTTTGCCGGGGGAGGGGGGGGGGGGGGTTCCAGCAGGAGGAGGGGATTTTCGGAGGGGGGGGGGGGGGGGGCGACCCCCGGGTTCCGGAGGAAAAGGTGGTAATTTTCCACAGTAAAGCGGCGGTGGATCACGCTCTCTCTAACATAATGTTATTTACCTATGTCGAACATATGTTGTTGTCCACTTATTTCCGTAACCCATTGCGCGGCTACTTTGAAACTATTGAACATACCAGCACCTTTCCTTATTATCTTCGTTCTAAAGATGACTGAGACATCCTCGTTCAGGCCCGCCTGAATGAGTCTGCCCAGTTTGACACGGTCGTAAAACTTGGCCAGATCCAGCAAGAGCGTTCCCACAGTGAGCTCCGTTAAAGTCGCAGGCTCGTCAAGGAATGCGGGATGCAATGCAGCTGCTAGCGCCGAAGAGCCCCGCGTGGCCGCGCGCCAAAAGTCACGCAGGCCCTGGCTCCAGCTGTCAGAGGCCGAGGCGCGCGCGCGCGACTCCACGTTCGCGCGCTGTGGGGAAGCGCGCCCAAAACTCGGTCTCCTCCTGCCTTCTCCGGTGCCATCGTTGCCAGGGTAGCAAATACCTGCGGTGGCCATGTGCCCTCATGCTCGATCAGGTTGAGAACGGCAGCGTATTCGTCGAGCGCGCCCGTTGGAAGACGGAGGAGATCGCGCGGGCCGAGGACGCCCACTCTTTTTGCTTTAGCACCTGGCATGGTCTTCAGAGTCGCGCGTAGGCGATCAGTTGAGACGGGCTCAGGAGGGCCCTCAGCAACCTTCAGACGAGCATGCTGCAGAGCATGTGCGAGATCAGCTTGCTGCTCGCGTGGGTGCCAGACATCGACCCACTCCTTCCTCTCCTCAGCAGCCATGATCATGAGCGGGTTGGAATTAGCCTGGCCACTCATCAAAAGATCAATGGATTGCTGCTCCTATGATATCACCTCTCGATGCAGAACTCCAGGCTTATACTTCCGCGTGTCGGCGAGCCAGGCTGCAGACTTTCTCTTCGACTGGTATGATGCATGAGCCGCTGCGCGAGCAGCCCGCGTCTCGGTCATGCCTATGAGCTCTTCGCGCTCGTCGTCGTCCACTAGGGTCATGGTGCGGACCAGCTCGCACTAGCGAAAGACTGCGTCCTCTTCAATCTTGGGTAGAAGCTTGTCACGCTTCAAGCCCAAGTCAGTGAGCCTTGCCTTGAGGATACTGTTGGTGGTCCGTATCACGTCAACGTGCTTGTCGTGCTTGCAGAAAACGAGCGTTTTTCCCCAACGTACACGTAATAGCCCACCGCTATGCAGGCTCATGTCGAATGTGGGTGCGCCCAGGAGGGGGCGATGTCTTCGTCCATGTGAACTGGACGCTCTCAACACGGCCCACGACAAGGGGCCTGCTTGTCCGCAGGAACCTCATGATGACTCATCACCACCGCCTCATAGCACCGCACCCATCTAGCGTAAGATTGTTGGACACGGCCTGTCGCCGCAGGTACCATCTCGTGCAGGAAGTGAGAGGGTAAGGCCCAAGACTGCTTCGCCTTAGACTCGATTTGTGCCGAGCCGATCTTGACCACTCCGGCGTCCTGTAGATATGGAGAAGGCTTCTTCTCACCGGGTGAAGCAAATAGTTCGGACGAGGGAGGCCCGCTCAAAGAGGCCCCAAACGTCGTAGCCATCACGCGGGGAGCATGCGTAGAGCTGCCAGCTTGAGAGCGTGGATGCCGATGGTCACCACCAGTCGCCCCGCCAAGATCGTACAGCTCAGTGGGGGGGGAACGCTCCGAGGATTTTAAAGCCTTTGGCCACCCGTATGGGCCCTTCTGGTATCCCCCCCCGGTGGCTTAAATTGCTCGTTGGTATTGGCAGAGTCGTCATCTCCGCCCAGGCCGTACATTTCCAAGGGGGAGGGAGAACGCTCCGAGAATTTAAAGCCCTGGCACCAGGAGGAGGAGGAGGAGGAGGAGGAGGAGGAGGAGGCGGAGAAGGAGGAGGAGGAGGAGGAAATGCGAGGCGGGGACCTATCCATGACCACCGCCGGGGGGAATCGATCTTGGAGGACCTCGGCAAACAGTGGATGTGGATATATTTGGCCCCGCGGGGCCAGAATCCGCCGCCTGCTCAGGTCCCCGAAGATCGATCCAACAGTCGATGCGTACGCATAAACTTCCCTCTCGGATGAGGGTGTCGACGACGACGACGACGACAACGACGACAAGAACACCCTGTGGCTCTCGCGCAGCTGGGGCGGCTACGGAGGAACAGGCACGCGGATCTTCGCGCTCAGGTCGCGCGCGGACTTCAGCGCGAAGGGCCCGAGCTGCTTGGCAGCGTCGAGCTGCGGGCGCGGGTTCGGGAGATCCTCCTCCCCCCTCCCTCCCTCCCTGCCTCTCTCCTCCCTCCTCCTCCCTCCTGCTTTTCCCTCCTCCTCTTCCCCCCTGCTCCCTACTCCCTCCTCCTCCCTCCTTTTGTTTCTCCTCCTCCGCCCTCCTCCCCTGTCCTTCCTGGTTCTCCTTCGCCCCCGCCCCACCACCGCGAGCGCCAGATGGGGCGCTTCTGTCTTCGTCGTCGCCTCCCCCCCTCTTTATTCGTCCTGCAACCTCGTCCTGCTCCCCCTTCTTCCACCCTACTCCTCCTGGGAAACGGCAGACACAAGTGATGACACAAAGGAAGACGGGGGGAACGAACGAGAGAATATATATATATATATATATATATATATATATATATATATATAATTGTGTATATATATATACGCAAAAACACACACGTATGCATATTCATAAGTAGGATTACGCATGTGTGCCGGCGCATCCCGAAATATAAAAAGAATGCTAATAATACAACCAACGAGAGAAAGAGAGAGAGAGAGAGAGAGAAAGAGAGAGAGAGAGGGAAAGAGAAAGAGAGAGAGAGAGTTAGAGAAAGAGAGAGAGAAACAGAGAGAGAGAGAGAAAGAGACAGAGAGAGATAAAAACAAATAAACAAAATGTTGTCGACTACGCGTCGGAATTGCCCTGGGCTAGAGTGACCTTTGGTGCGCGGTTTCAGGGGCGCCCGTGGGGGCCTAGCACAATCGCGCAAGCCGGCGCTGTCGCGCCGCAAACGGCGCGATCGGCAGGGCGCCACCCAAAAAGTTTGTTGTGCCAGCGGGCAACCGCGGAAGTCCGCCGATTGAAGTCGAGCGCCCCGAATGGCACTCCGAAGGCGTTGCGAAAGCAAGCTCTGCCAGGGGCCACCGCGAGGAGGTCTGGCACTGCCGGGCTGCGTCGCGATGACGTCTGACCAGGCCTGGCGTCATGGCCAAAACTGGCCCCATCCGAAAGCCTGGAATATGTTTGAATATATGTGGATAGATTGTAATGGTAAAGGTCCCCATGGATTCGGGAAAAAGCTAATGCAAAGTTATTCAAATATATTCGCAGATATTCGAAGACATCCAAAGATATCCAAATGGCCCAAGACTCGAGGCAGACGACACCGCTCACCAGAACTGACTGAGAAACTGCGCCCTTTGTACTCCGCACGGCTTACCTGAGGCAAGGTCGATTCTGCGAGCGTGCACGAGCAGAACATACATGGACATCAGTAATCACCTGAAAATCTGCCGGCATAAATGCACACTAAAAGATACTCAGACTGGAGCACAGCTGCACAACACACTGACTGATGGCACACCCAGTTGGGAGGACGCGGGAGGGTGAGCCGCTAAAAGGCAGCAGGGACAGGCACACTGCTGCAGGCTGTGAGCTACACTGCGGAGGGCCAATCCAGGTCAGAGACAAATCGTGGCCAAAGACTCGAGGCAGACGACACCATTCACCAGAACTGACTGAGAGGCTGCGCCCTTTTTACTCCGCAAGGCTTGCCTGAGGCAAGGTCGATTCTGCGAGCGTGCACGAGCAGAAGATACATGGACATCAGTAATCACCTGAAAATCTGCCGGCAGAAATGCACGCTAAAAGATGCCCAGACTGGAGCACAGCTGCACAACACACTGACTGATGGTACACCCCATATCCCATATGATGGACTGAAGGGCGGAGAGGGTGGGTGCCGAAAAGAAAAGAGAGGCCAAACATTCAACGAAGCAAGCGAGCTTTCAACTGAGTGAGTTTGCCAGGGGAAGACTGAAGCTGAACGCGCGGCACCTTCTCAAGCTGTCGCATCAAAGTGCCTGCCTTTTCGTAGCGCCTGACTGAGGAGGCGGCCCGACACATCCCACGCTTCTGAATGTCGGGGATGCTGCGGAGGCCCCTCGCGGCGTCTACTGAATGGCCGCCGCGGCGAGCGCAGTGAGGAGTCACATCCAGGCGGCGCAGCTGAAGGGCCGCGACCGCGGCGTTGAAATACCGTTCGTACTGGGCCAGCGTCAGCGGGAAGAGCGGCCGATGCGGCTGGCGCTGGCCCTTCAGCTTCACGAGGAGGTCGGCCACGAAGCTCCGACCGGCCTTGAAGCTCGCCTGGTCTCCGAAGATCAGCGTCATGTCGTGCTCGTTGTTCTTGGGCCGCGGGCAGGGCTCGGCTCCGTCGTCGGCGTGGAGCGGCGCGATGGTAATTGTCGCGCGAGGGTGCCCCCTGGCCACCCCGCCCGCGGCGACGTGCACGTCGGCGCCACTGATCCTCAGCGCGCTGGACGGACGGAGGCACCCGTCGAAGCTGTGGACGAGCGCCCCCGCGGCGGCTTCGCCGAGGGGCCCCTGCTGGATCATGTGGTCGGCGATCAGGACAGCGGCCTCCCACGGCAGCGGGTCGCGGACCCGCTCTGGCCCGGCCTGGCTCCAGCCGGCGAGCGCATCCCGGCTGCGCGGAAGCGCGGCGGGGGTCCGTCTCGGGTAGCGCAGGCAGTGGATGGCCCCGTGCACCGCGTAGCGGCCCTCGGCCAACGCCTTGCCTCCGAAGTGGAGCGCGTCGAGGTAGTCCTCCATTGCTCGATCGACGAGGTCGTGAGTCGTGAGAGGACGGCCCTGCTGTTGAGCCCAGACCTTGAACTTCGCGTAGGAATCGAGGTACCTGCTGGCTGTGATGGGCCTGACTCGGCGCGTCTGGAGGTAGGGTCTTGGCTGCTGCTCGGCGCGGGCGCGCCTCCTGGCCGCCAGGACTGCGGGCTCGACGTAGTTCCGCCGTCGGCGGGCCCCTGCGACTGGCTCGCGCCTGAGCCCAGTGGGCACCCCATTGGGGGGCCTCGGGGGGCCACTCGGGCGGAGAGCCCCTCGGGCAGCGCGGCCACGGCCTGACGAGGTCGCTGGTGGGCCGCCCGACAGCGGCCGCCAGGTGAGCCTCCCAGTCGTCGGAGACCTGTGGATCGCCATGCCAGCGGCAGGCCGAGGAGGGCGCAACAGCGCCCAGCGCCTTGGCCCAGGCTCGGCACAGCGCCGGTGGGTACGAACCCGCCAAGGAGGTCTGCCACCGACTTCGGATTGAACCATGGATGGCCACGGAGACTTTGTCCTCGAGGATCACATGGGCGTGGCCTCCAGATCATACGCGTCCAATGACATATTGAGCAGGATGATCTGACATGACGAATGTAGGCTTCTTATATATGCAACCGTACTGGCAATAGTGAATCAGGATCTTGGCAGACTCAACTGGGGAGATAAAAGACGCTAAGGGAGCCCGTGTGAACAGCTTGTAGGACGCGGGGTTCTCGAGAGACCAGTGCACGTTGAAGTCCCTGCAGAGCCTCATGAGTTCTAAGGTGCGACGGGCTAGCTGGGGCCCTTGACGGCGTTGGGAGCGAGCCGCCCCAGTAGCCCGGCTCCGCGCGATGCACGGAGTCCCAAAGTGCACCCACCAGAGCTTCCGAGACCTGATCCAAGACGGCAGGACATTGAAGACCCTGTAATCCAGGAAGTCGAAGTGCGAGCCGTTCTCCAGGTCCACCGGGGCCGTCACAAAGAGGCCCAAGTCCCTGAGGGCGGCGGTGAGCCGGGCGCAGCCCGCGAAGATCTCGCAGAAAGCTTTGGGGCGACGGGAAGCACGAGGACGAGAGGCTGCGAACACGGGCTTTTTGCTCTCTGCCTCCCTCGGAGCAGGCGCGGCGATGACCTCCGCCGTCTCTGAGGCTGCCTCTTCGGTAACCTCCGGGATATCAAACGATTGTGGCGGCTGCGGCGCTGGCGCAACCTCTGACAGGCAGCGGCGGCCGCGGCGGGCATGCAGGCCTGCCACGCGAGCAAGGCGCCGCTGGGCACCGTGCGCGGTCAGGCCGCTGGCAGAGCCTGCGGCGGGTCGGGCAGCCGGCAAGCCCTCGGCTGGGGGAGGCGGCCCCAAGCTGGCCTCGATGGCGGCCAGGGCAGCGGGCGGCCCCCACTGCGGCCGCCCGGGCTGTACCTCCCCGCGGTCGGCCGCTCTGGAGTCGTAGTCGGTCGGGTTGCGGTCCGTCTCGACGCGCCGCTGCCGCCGCTGGATGTCGGCGGAGATCTGCCGCGCGGCAGCGACCCGACAAAGCTGTCTGAGGGCAAAGTCACGGGCGCGGCCTTTCTCGAAGCTGAGGAGGGCGGCCTTGCTGTCGCCCATGCTGCCCACGCGGTGGCCATGCATCCTGGTGCTCCGCGAGGCCCTGATCAGGCCGAGCAGCTGCGTGCGCGCCTCCTTCACGTGGATAGGGGCCGCGTGCCTCCAGGCACCTCGGACGATAAGAGCCCAGCGATGGCGGTCGACCACGGCGTCGGCCACGGGAGTCACCATCCCGTCAAGCTCGAGCGCGTGACAGGCGGCCCCGCGATACTCATCATCAAGATCGAAAGCGGGGTCGCCCACAAACCCCGCCGCGAGGGTAGCTGTGGCCTCGGCGGCGATAGCGGCGGGTGGACCGTCAGCCGCCCCAGTCAAGAAGGTAGGCTCTGCGTCCAGGAAACGCCGGCGCCCCCGTACAGTGAAGGTGTCGAGCAGCTCGTCGTCCGACAAGCAGGCGTCGCGCAGCGCGTAGCCGTAGGTGCTGGCGTGGCTGCAGTAGGTGACCGGGGCCCGTGGTGCCCCGAGGTCCACTTCCACCAGGAAGATCAGGCCGTTGGCGACACGGATCTCGTCCAAGAGGTCGGGAGGGAACTTGGCGAACCTCTCGCGGTGCTCCGCGATGAAGTGGTCGCCCAGGTCGAGCACCGCCAAGGCGGGCCGCATCAGCATGAAGAAGTTCACGAGGTGCCCGTAGATGATGCGGAGCGCGTAACCAGTAGCACCACCTACGCCTATGAGGCGCTGGAGGCCCAAGTAGAGCTTCTAGGCCTTCTTGTCGGTATGCCTGAGCTTCCGCGCCTGCCCATCGAAGACCACTCCGACGGACTCGTAGAGGCGGGTCGGCTCGACCTTCTCGTGGTAGGCGAGGTTGAGGCGATCCAGCTCCGCGCAGACCTCGTCGAGGGCCGCGCCGACGTCCTCCGCGCAGACGCCGAAGAGGTTGGCGTTGTCCACGTAGGGCGATGCCAAGGACCGCCCCAGGGCGAAGGGCGGCACGGGCCTCTTGTCCGAGATCACACACGGGTATGGGGACCCAGCAAGGCGAGTGACGGCCTCTGTCTCTGCTGACTCGGTCACAAGTTGGCAAAACCAGAGAGACCAACTCCAGCCCATCGGCAGACCCCTGAAGACGGGGGAGATCCTCGTGTCACTAGAGACCTGGCCGAAAGTGCGAGTGTCCGTGAAATAAACGTCGGGATCGCCAACGTAGCCTGCGGCCTCTGTGAAGTCGAAGCCGAACCAATCCGGCGACGAAGAAAGCTCCGATCCGGGCGCGGATGCCCAACCTGAAACCCGCCAGACCCACGGCGTGCAGGCGCATGACGAAGTCCCTGCGAGCCGCCCTGTCAGGGCGGAGGCGAGGGCCCCAGTAAGGGCGCACCGGAGTGATAAGCCCCTGCTCTGTCATCGCGTCAATCTCCGAGGCGGTGCGGTAGATCAGGCTGTCAGCGTTGTCGAGGTCGCGGACGCCAGCCGGCGGCAGCCTCTCACGGAGCGGCCGCGGCGTGACCAAACCCCTGAGGACCCGAAGCTTCGACGGGTCGCAAGGTCGTAGGTGCTGGGGCTGGTCTGAGTACATGTCCGTGGACTTCAGGAGGCCGTAGAAGGCGTCGCTCGGCGTCGCAGCTGGCCGAGAGGGGAAACGCGACACCTTGGCCCAAGTCCTGCGAAGGATGGAACGCTGCGCCAAAGTCGGGCGCCGCCCCGTCGGAGCATGGTGGGCCCTCAAGGCCCGAGACGGGGCATCGAGTGCGTTGAGGGAGAAAAGCGCCCCCCTGCACCGTCTCTCGCACGAAGGCTGCCTAGCGCGGCGGCCGTGCGCGAACTCCCATCGGCGAAGCACCGGAAGGGGAAAAAGGATCACCGTGGGCACGGCCACGAAGTGCACGATAGTCACCTCGATCGGCTTGGCGCCCCCGTCGAGCTCGGCGAAGGCGGCGGCGAGGCAAACGTCGGTGGGGATGGAGCCGAGCTAGCCTCCTCCCTCTGGACCTCGCCGCCGCGGCCCCCGCGGGGGCTAGCCGCCGTCGTGGGCGGCCTCGGCACCGCGGCCGCGGCCTCCGCCGCGCCCGCGGCCCCGGCCGCGGCCTGCCTTCTCGCCTGAGCCCCCGCTGCCGCCTCCACCGCCGCCGTGCGCCAGGTGGCCCGCCTCCTCGTGCCAGAGGCGCATCCGCTTGAGGCGCTGTGCCTCCTCCCGCTGGAGGCTCGACACGAAGCCGCCGAACTCGGGGAGCCGGGCGCGCCCATCTTCGCCGAGGAGGCGTGGAGCGCGCCCTGGCCCAGCGGCCTCCAAGCGCTCCCGCTCGGCGTGCTCGGCCTCCTCGACCAGGGCGGCGGCGACCCACTTCCCGTCGATGCGCGCCAGCGCCGTGTTCTCGCGGATGATCATCTGGTCGCCGTCGCCGATGATGCCCTTGGGGATCTCGTTGCCGAAGGCGTCGCGCGCGGCATCTGCGACGCGCCAGCGGCCCCCCTGCGGTAGTGCGCCAGCGGCGCCAACCGGCCCGAGGACCTCGAGGAGGTCGCGGCCCGCGCGACGCATGCGGGCCAACGCCCCCGGTTCGATCGGCACGTCGAAGAAGTAGGTTTCGGCCAAGAGCCGTCGGGGCAGGGGATTGGCACGATGCTGTGATAAGTCGGCTAACTGAACGTCGAAGTCGGGTGCTCCAACGATCCATTTTCCCGGAGTGGGAGTGGCAAAGAGCAAGACCCGTCCGTGATACCGAAGGCCATTGGGGTCGTCCCCGAAACTGATGAGCACTTGGCGCTCAGGTATGTCCAAGGACTTAGACATGAGCCCTCAGCGAGGACGGAGTCGCTGCTGAACGTGGGAGAACGAGAGGCGCTGGGTGATCAGCGGGGGCGTTGACAAGGGGAGCCTGGCGTATCACCTCGCGATGACCTGAAGCCGCGGCGCGGCGGGTAAGGGATACCGCGCACGAACCCAGTAAGGTGAGAAGCGAGCCCACCGCACAGCCCAAGATGAGTAGAAGCGTCAACGAGAACTTTGAACAGGCCTCCTCCTGCGAGCCGTCGCAGGTACGTCGAAGCTGAACCCTTGCACTCGCGCGCTCCTGGTAGGCGTCCTGGATCACGTCCAGCGACCGCGTCGCCACAGGCAGGGCCGCGTCGCGGGAGAGCGGCTCGGCGCCGCAGGTATCCACAGCACACACGCACGCAGGGCAATCGGGCGGGCCGCGGGCCAGCACGAACAACTGCAGGGAGGAAACGATTATTTGGTAAGCAGCTCCTGCGAGACCCGGATCGACCATCCGGGAATTCTTGAGCCGCTAAAAGGCAGCAGGGACAGGCGCACTGCTGCAGGCGGTGAGCTACACTGCGGGGGGCCAATCCAGGTCAGAGACAAATCATATATTCAGGCCGGACGTTTTCGGATTTGGGCTGGAAATCGGGACTGGTCCTTGGTCGGAAAACGCGCTGTCTGGTCGACCGCCCCCCCCCTGGGTAACCAATGCAAGCTGCAAGGTGCGGCGCGTATGCGTTGCTGTCGATTGGCAGGGGTGGGCCCAAACCTGGCGCGCTCAGATGCAAGCGTAATCGCGCGATGCGGGTGCCGACGCGAGGTCGAGCTCACTCCGCAAACAAAAATCACCCGACCCCCTTTGGGCCAGCAGCGATGGTCACTCCGGCGAAGGGTCAGTTTTACGCGTAGTCGATGTTGGTGGAACACAGACGACGGAACGCGGAGGAGCACGGCGAGAAGAGACAGGAGGAGGCAACGGGAGGGATGATCTGGAGAGAGGGGGGGGGGGGCAGGAGTTGGAGGCAGCTGCGGAGGCGGGCGCCAGAGAAGGCAAGATACGTGGCCGGCGGAATGAAAGCCATCGCCCCCGCAGTCGTGGACAAGAGCGAGGGGCGGAGGGCCGCGGCGGTTTGCGAGGCTCGGAACCAAATGTCAACCTGCCCGCCGCTGGCCCGACACATCCGGCACCGTCCTCGGTCCAATAGGAGCCCTCGACCCTCGGCGATGAAAATATCTCAATGCCCGCCAGGGGGCCCCACAGCCGAAGTCCCAGAATTGCTCGGGCTGCTCGCGTGCCTCTGAGGGTCTGCCGCGCGACCTTCCAGCGGGAAAAGGGCCCCGAGACGCGGGGGTCTGGGTGACCTGGCGAGGTTCCCACGTCGGCCCAGGAGGCGCCGAGGCGGCTCGAGACGACCTTTGGGATTCCGGCGACGCCTAAAGAGAACTCCAAGAGGACTCCCGAACGGGCTCCGGGACGCAAGCGAAGAAAATTGTCAGACGTTTTGCCTGATTTGCCGCTTTCGCAGTCTCAAGCTTCCGAGCGCCCAACGTGGCCCCAGAGGCCCACAAGATCGCCCAACAACAGCCAAAGAGGTCCCAAGGCACTCAATGCGGCCCGGGAGGGCCCCGGGATTGTCCAGGAGGCCACCAGGAGGGCCCCAACACTGCGCGGGGGGCACTTCGAGCCCTCCACCCCGAAATGGCCCCAAGAACCCGCCAGAGGCCGCCGGGGCGCCCCCCCAACGGGCCTCCGAGGGGTCCCCAAGAGGCCTCCGCCTCCGAGAAACTCTCTGAGTGGCCCCCGAACGGCGCCCCAAGAGACCCAAACATGCACCGCCGGACCTAGGACGGAAGAACATCCTTCAAGAACATGAGGCCCTCCGCCGGTCAAACTCGAGAATATTCGAGGGCCCCCCCCCCAGGATACACAAGAACATCCCACAAACGCGACGAACATTAAGGTGCCCTCCCCGAACCGACCTCCATCTTGTACCTCGGTCCGACCGTGTCCGGGAGGCCCTGTCCCACAACCCGCGCGCGAAGGCGGAATGTGCCGAAGGCGCGGATGTTTCCCGTCCGAACCCTGTGGTATCTCGGCGCATCCCAGTGGTATTTCGGCGAGTCCCTTCAGCCGCCTGTGCGACGCCCATCCCACTGGCCTGAGTTTTGCCTTAGACGCCACTTTCACGACATTGAAATACTGGAGGATCTGGCACACGATGCCATTCATTGAACATGAAACTCCCGCTGCAGACATCCTCCAACATTGATGAAATGAAAATTGAATGGGGCCGATAACCTCTCGCAACTTCAGAAATCAGGCAATCGCATGAGACATCCTCCAAATCTGCGACGCTGGAGGCGCCGTTCACAATAGGCCAAAAAAGGCCTCCAAAATTGCCCCACGACAATAAAAGAGGCCGCCGATACTGCCACGAAGCCGCTGAACAACTGTCCAAGATGGCCTCCAAGATGGCTCAGATGGCCCAGTATTGCTTCCAAACCGGCTAGCATGGCCCCCATGGTGGCCAGGATGGCCCCATGTGGTCTTCATAACGGTCCAATTTGCCCTCCAAGCAAGCAGATACAACCAAAAGGCGACCACATGCGGCTCCAGACCGGCCCTGGATGGCCCCAAGTGGCCACGAAGAAAACACCAGAAGGCCCCAAGGGCCCCGAGACAACCCTTACTCCACAAGGTAGGCTCGATGCGTATCAAGGGTATTTGAAACTTCGTCCACGTGCGAGCGCGCTTTTTTCTCTGGGTACTTCCCGTGGTGCATATTGCTTCGGTGTTTGCCGCTCCTACATCCGCACGTCTGACATGCCCATCATTGTGCGCTTTCCGGCACAGGGCCCTGTCTTCCCTGTCCACGGACTCGACAAGGTCGTCGGGCAGAGGCTCGGTGGCCTCCGAGCGTCGTGTCTAAGTGCATGCGCTGGGGGGGAATCCCAAAAAGG